TCAAAAATAGAGAAAAAAGGAAGCAGAAAATATTAATACCACTTTGCCAAACTTGTACACCATCATATCCAATTGCTGTTACCATGGGGCAGATTTCAGCGGGTCTGTATAAACTTGATGCAAGGATTTGTTCTCTCATTAAAAATGGTAACATATATGTGCAATACGAAACAAGAACTATCAACTTAAACAAGTCTAACACTATAAAGTGGCCATTGAAATGGTGGACTAGGGAACTCAGCCTGATACCAAAAAACAGCAACAAGTTCTATCTACAAATGAAAGAAGAATCATGGTGCCCCCTGCTTTACGAGTGGCAAGGTGTTACTGTATTAGTATGGAAAGTGCAGTGACATGAAGTCCAGAATGATAAGAGAATTAAAAAAACCTATCATGTTCGGAAGCACAGTAAGAAGAATACATGTAAAGAGTTAAATGAAAGCTTTCTTATACCTTTTCCCATCCACCACTTTCCATCTGTTCTTTTTAATAAAACATGGCATAAGAAAGGCAACATATCTATAACAATTATTACGCATTGCCACTAGATGTTAGTCAGCAATTAAACAAAGTAGGTTTTCAACAGCGTATAAATGCATATAAGGAAGAGTATAAGACCAGTTCAACGTCAAATATTTAATTCACATCTTGATGCAGAAGTTCCATTAGCATCAACAGTAAAAGGCTAAAAGTCCTAAAACTTAGCTTTTTTAGGCTTTTTTTGATTGGGTGGATAGAATAATAGAAAGACGGAAAAAAAAATCTTTCATTTCCTTGTATGTTTGGTAGGAAAGAGAAGTGAAGAAAAAATTATTTTCTTCCCATCCATTGCTTGGAAAGATTGAAAAATAAGGGGGAAAAGTACACTGTTTTACCATTATAATCAATGTAAGTTGAAGATTAAAAAATGATTAGACATATTGTAAATATACACATCAACTCACTCCACTCTCATTTACTGTCATCTATTTTGTCCAATTTGAAGTGATTTGTTTTTGTTTAATAGATGAGGAAAACAATACTCTTCCCATTTTCCCCCTCACAATTTTACTTCTGACCAAGCACACGAAAACTAAATTTTCTTTCCACTTTTCCACCCTTGTATTTTCCCATCCTTCCAAGCATACCCTTAAGTGTAACTATAAACTAATAATATAATTTACACTTGATAACTAGGATACATATGGCAGAAAATTTTGCAGCGTCAGTGCTTCCACCTCGGATATGCAATAGAATGCAATACTTTGACAAAGACTCTTTCACCTGAATCCACCATGATAAGATACAGAGCACAACTATATGAAAAAAGGATTAATTTGAGACGAAAATCCTTGAAATGAATGATAAAAAAGGGAAAGAAATACTTTTAGGTCAGTCCATCTAGAGTCCTCCACGTTTTTTGACTCGGAATCTTCACCTTAAATCCCAATGAGCATAACAATTAGAAATCATAATCACAATGAAATAACAAAAAAAACGTGATTTTTTGTTCACACTACCTAGATCAAAAAATTTAAAAAGGGATCAAATAAAGAAGAAAAAGTTACATGAAATGTAGACCACGAAAAGCTTCTTCTGGTTCTTAGCTTCAAGAATTGCTTCAGGAATTGAGCCTTTGAATGTAATAGATGACAAAGATTCGGACATTTCCATCTTTCATCAGACAATTAGGTTCCTAAAACTCATAATTCGCAATTAAATCACTCTTTCGTTATCAGAATCAAATTCGATCGCCTCGAATCTTCAAGCATACACTTTCACGTGCACTTCTGTCTGTATGTGCGTGTGTGTCACTCCAGAAATAAACTGAACTATCCATAATTTCTAAAAACCCTAAAAAACAAGCTGACAGTGCGGAAACCCTAAATTATTTAGAACATTTAAAGATTATATATAATAAAAAAATATGGTGAAAATTTCTTTATTAAGGGAGGGATCAACGAGAAGGATCAAATACATTAAAAGAAACGGAACCAGAAAGAAATCAGCCGTACCTTTGATTGTAGAAACTGGAAACTCAAATTTCACGACGAAATCTTAAAATCCTAAGAACAGAGAAATGAGAAGGGACTCGAAGACTTTTGAACTAATAGACGAGCACTAATAGAGAAACCAGAAGTTCTCCAATGGGGAACCACTATTAGTGCTTGCCTGTTAAGAAGACGCAAGTCCAACAAACATATCTTTGTTTATTTGCTTATGTCTGTTTATGACGTGTATGAACTATTATAGAATAAAAATATATGTCTGCTTATTTGTTTATGTTTATAACTTGTATGAACTACTATGGAATAGATGTGTGGTCCGTGATTCGTCAAATGGATGAGTCTTAAGTTTATTGATCGAAGAATTCATGATGAATGTGTAACTTATTATTTCAAGTTCAATGTGCTCAAATAGAATCTTGGAAATAATTCGTAGTCTAAGATTTGAGGTAGTCTAAGATTTTAGTGGTCTTAGTGAGGACTCGATGAATTTATCAACTTGAGAAATTAGGTTTTTCACTCTTAATAAATTCATATTCAAATATTTGATTGTTCATAGTGAAATTAACTTGATGAGTTCATCAAATTTCAAATGAGAGGTTGAGTTTAGTAAATGCTATTAATAATTAAATATCCCTAATTCGTGTGTTTATATTCAAATAGACTTGATGAAATCACGTACATAAATATAAAAAGACTAACCACCATATATAAAAGATTTTGGATAGTATTTCTAAAGAATTTATGAGCATCTCGAGACATATTTGACTAATTGTTGAACTATCACGAAATTCAAATAGGTTTGATATTAATTATGTGTTATAAGTTTACCCATAAATTTACCTATATTTTAACAAGTTTATGATTCGTTCATTTGTTAGGAGAAAAATTACTTATATGTACTAGTTCAAACCTAATTAATATCAATGCTTATGCTACTACTTTTGACATTAATCTTTTCTCTTTATTCTTTCTTTTAGGATTTTTATCCCTTTGTTTTAGTGGAAGATTATTGGTAAAATAATGTAATGTAAAGTAGTGTGTATCTCATATCGGTGAGATACTATTTTGGTGAAAGGTTTATCTACAAACTCTTCTCTTTACTCACTGTTGAATAATAGAGGATAAAGCTCAGTCACGCATGTGTTGTCATTCTCTCATCAATTTTGATTTACATTTGTATTTATATTTGTGTTCACATTTGTCTTTGACACATCTACACGCATATCTTTTTGGCCTCATTCGTATTAAAGTTTTTTACCAAGCAATATTAATTTTTTTTTCAATTGACCAAATTAACACACAACAATAAAACCCTACTCTCATATATAATGGAGAAACGGGGAGGTAGGATAGTAGGCTGTCCCAACGCAAGGTTGAAAGTAGCTTCCGTGGAAGATCTCTGGCAGTCAGAAAATTAAAAATAAAGATAGAATGCAATGCATGTATAGTTAAATAAATAAATATATAGTTGAACAGTGTTAATAATGCAGTCTTCAATATGTGCGTCTGTAAATGGGAAGTAACCCCTGCATAAAATTCTCTGCAAAAGACAGAAACGTAAGACCCGACAAAATTTAAAAAGAGGAAACATGAAGAGAATGATACACAAAAGTCAACGATAGCAAGCTACGAGAAGGAATAAATAAAATGGTTTAAAACCTAAACAAAGGCAACACTACTCAGCTACCATATTCTAACCCTCCATAATTTCCATTGACAGAAACGTATAAAAAGTAGAAGTCATATAAATTACTACAAAGACATTAAAAGAAGACAGAGATGATACACCCTACGGATGTGACCCGTACTACTCGGCTACCCTGACCTTAAGTCTCCATAATTTCCTATCAGATGTCATATCCTCGGTAAGGGCTAAGTCCTTCAAATCAAATTAACACACATCATTAAAAAAATCCATGCAAATTATAGGGTTGACGGGATATTTTTTTGGTGATATTTTCCCTTTCTTTGGATGGTTTTACTCCCAACTTTTCAGTTACGATAGAGGCTTTTCTTTATTCATCATTCACATCTCTCTTATCTTATCTTCTTTTCTCTCAATTGGTTTTCTATATTCTCTCTCGAGTGTTTCTTTTGGTAGTCGTCAAGCTTTCTTTATAAGATAAATTACTATTTAATCTTAAGAACAACATTAAATTTTTGAGATTACATAAATCCAAACGAATTATTTCAAACGTAGTGACTACACGGTATAATAATTATATCCAATTATTTTATTTATTTGTCATTTTTATAATAATCAGTACTAATATACATTTTTAGAACAGTCTCTTTACTAACAATATCTTGCTAGGCTTTGTCCTCCTACGTTGTTGTTTTGGATGACAAAAAAAACTTAATGCATCAATACTCACTTCCATAGAAAGTGTTTTTTTTTTAAGAAACGGCAAACTTGACCCAACCATAAGAAACGGAATAAAGAAAAAGTTAAAAAATTTTGAATTTATTTTGGATAAAATAACAGCACTGTTTCAAATAGAATCTCCAGAAAAGGAAAATCTATTGGCTGAATTATGCATGGAATACAGGAATGATCTACTATAAAAGAACTTGACTCAACTAATGCTATGGGAATGCCTAATCTAACCGTGGAAAATGATACGTTTAAGAGGATAAAGTTATGTGCCACATAAATACACATTCATTATCTGAACCATAATAAAATTTGAGAACTTAAAATTAGGTGAAAATCCCACAAGAGAACTGATTAAGCATCCCCCAAATATACAGTGATTCTAACCTTGTAGTTGATCACATCCATGATCAAACAGGCCAATGATAATTAACTGACTCTACCTTGCTCCGTCCCTGTAAATACACTTATTAGTGTCGCCGATGACACAGTAGATAATGAGAAAATATGATCAGATTTTTTATTCCATAACACTCGTGTAAAGATCTATCGGAAGAACATGAAACAAAAGAAAGAAGGTAACCTGAAAGACGTTGTCTCTCATTCTTACACAATTTCAGAACAGCTCAAACCACCAATGAATCAAAAGATTACGACTAGTACGATTGCTTAAGAAAGAATGAGAAAAATTGGAATGAATAAACATGGATCACATCAGGCCCCTGCAAGACAATTTGTGACTACATAATTTGACTCGAGGATCCATCGGCAATGCTTGGGCTTAATATTTCAATCTCTTTTATTCTATATCATAAGCGTATGGCAACTTCCTAATCCATCTGGGGAGGTAAATCATTCTCATCGATAACTGCCACCATATGGCTGTTGAAAATAACCATTTGTGCCCATCATAGGGTTATAACTGCCAGGCATTAGAGTTTGTGATTGTATGTGTGCTGTCTGTACCATTCCCATGCCCGTATTCATACCCATGTTCATCCCCACTCCCATGCTCGGGTTCACACCCATGTTCATCCCCATTCCCATGCTCGGACTCATACCCATGTTGTTCATCCCCATTCCCATGCTTGGACTCATACCCATGTTGTTCATCCCCATTCCCATGCTTGGACTTATACCCATGTTGTTCATCCCCATCCCCATTCCCATGGCCACAGGTTGTTGATTCATACCACCATAGCCTACCATGCCCATACTCCCAACAGGTCCACCACCGTTTCCTATACCCATACCCATGCCCATGCCCATGCCCATGCTGGAACTCATCATAGGAGTTGCTGAAGACCTGAGAACACTACCACCCGCACGACCAATCCCAGACCCAGACCCCATAGCTTTACCCATGGTGACAGTAGAAGTTACTGTACTCAGGGTAGGCTTTTCCATCCTCTTTTCCTTCCTATTCATTTCATCAAAGTCGATTCCGATATCAGCCAATGGGTTTGTTTTAGCTGCACGAAGAAACAAAATAAAGTTATTCCTGCAGAAAGTTTACATGACATTTTTAACAAGAGAAATATAAGCACTTACGTCCAGATATATTCAAATTGACCAGCCCTCTGCTTAATGTATCAGCCCAAACTGCTGACTTTGGTTCAAACTTTTTATTTGATGGTTGCGGAACAATAGCAAGTTCTGTTGACTGAGGAGATGCCTGTGGTAATATTGAAGTGGCTGATCCTGGCTGCAAGAATAAGCCACCTACGATATTGTTGTTATCTTGTGCACCCGGTGCTTTTGTGGTTTGATTAGCACTCTGCGAAGCAACTGACACACCATAACCCTTCTGCGGAATGAAGTTTCCAGTGTTAACCTGGGTAGCTGGTTCAGCAGGATTTTGAGGTTGAACAGCCCCGTGTGAACTAACAGGAGTGTTAGAACCTACCTGAGAGATGAAACTCCCATTGCTGCTCCGTGATGCAGACACTGAAATTTGAGGGCCCATAGACACAGTCTGTGTATTAAAATTACCATATGTAATATTCGAACTTGATTCCATTGGTTGGGCATATGGATTAGAACTTGCTTGGACAGGTTGGCAATGCGGATTAGCATTTAGCTGTGCTAGTTGGCCATTTGGGTTAGTATTTGGCTGTGCAGGTTGGGCATATGGATTAGCATTTGGCTGTGCAGGTTGGCCATATGGATTCACATTTGGCTGAGACTGTTGGCCATTTGGGTAAGCATTCGGCTGTGCAAGTTGGGCATATGGATTAGCATTTGGCTGAGCGGGTTGGCCATTTGGATTCACATTTTCCGGTGCAGATAATCCATTTGGGTAAGTATTTGGCTGTGTAGGTTGGCCATATGGATTATCATTTGGCTGTGCAGGTTGACCATTTGGATTCACATTTGGCTGAGCGGGTTGGCCATTTGGATTCACATTTGCTGGTGCAGGTAGTCCATTTGGGTAAGTATTTGGCTGTGCAGGTTGACCATATGGATTAGTATTTGGCCATGCGGGTTGACCATTTGGATTCACATTTGGCTGAGCGGGTTGGCCATGTGGGTAAGTATTTGGCTGAGTGGGTAGGCCATTTGGATTCACATTTGGCCGAGTGGGTTGGCCATTTGGATTCACATTTGGCTGAGCGGGTTGGCCATTTGGATTCACATTTTCCGGTGCAGGTAGTCCATTTGTGTAAGTATTTGGCTGTGCAGGTTGACCATATGGATTAGTATTTGGCTGTGAGGATTGGCCATTTGAATTCACATTTAGCTGAGTGGGTTGACCATTTGGGTAAGTATTTGGCTGAGCGGGTAGGCCATTTGGATTCACATTTGGCTGAGCAGGTTGGCCATTTGGATTCACATTTGCCGGTGCAGGTAGTCCATTTGGGTAAGTATTTGGCTGAGCGGGCAAGCCATTTGGACTCGCATTTGGCTGAGCGGGTTGTCCATTTTGGCAAGTATTTGGCTGTGCAGGTAGGCCATTTGGGTAAGCATTTGGCTGAGTGGGTTGGTCATATGGATTAGCATTTGGTTGTGCAGGTTGGTCATTTGGATTGCCATTTTGCCGAGCCAGTTGATCATAGGGATTAGCATTTGGCTGTGCGGGTTGGCCATAAGGATCATCATTTGACTTTGGTGGTCGGCCATAAGGATTAACACTTGACAGTGCAGATTGGTCATGTGGAGAAGCACTTGGCTGCACAGGTTGGTCATACAGATTAGCACTTGGCTGTGTGGGTTGACTATACATATGAGCACGTGACTGTGTCAGTTGACTATACATATGAGCACGTGACTGTGTCAGTTGACCATAGGTATCTTGCTGTGCTGGTTGGTTATAAGTAGGTACTGGTGGAGAAGATTGGTTGGTTGGAGCTAAAAATGCTGCATGAGAAGCCACGTCATATGCAGATCCAGAACGTGGAAGGATACCCTCCAAAAGATCACTTTCCTGAATTGGAGTTGACATTTCTTGAGGAAAAAATTGAGAGCTTGCTAATGGAGGCTGAAAAGCAGAGACACTGGAGCTGGAGTAAGCATCAGCAGAAAACGAGTCTCCAAAGTTGAAGTCTGCAATTGTCTTGGATTTTGTAGAAGGTGCCAGAGGAACTTCCATATTTTGATTCGTTGTAGGCTGGAAAGTAGGCATAGAAGTTGATATTTGTTGCTGAAATTGGCCATCAGTTGAAGGAAATGCTTTGAAAGGATCGTCACCAAATGGATCATCAAAACCCTGTATCAAGAACAAAACTAACTTATCGTTTTACAGTAGAATAATGCTAAAAAACATTGAAATCTACTGGAATTAAATAACAAAGTTCATTGGGGGTAAACAAGGGGAAAATAGGAAAGGGAGTGATATGCGGGAGAAAGAAGAGGAAATGGAGCATATTAAACCAAATGGATTTAATTTTGATAATTTAGTACTAAGAAACATTCACTGATATGATTCTAAACTAAATTTTTTACAATCTTGCGATCCTATGCTTCCGATTAATGATTCAGGTTGTCGGAGAGAGACCGAAGCCTCTCAGCTCATCAAAGAGAGACTGAAACCCTTAGGAATCATTAAAAGAGAGACAGTGACCAAGATCTTTTAAGGGTTTTGATAAAAATTATGACTTCCTTTATTCCGTTCTCAATTTGCTTCTTACATAGAGATGTTAGCTAGTTCAATTTTATACTTTCTACGCAAATAATTAAAAACAAGGACTCCAGCTAACGAAAGACTTCTAATAGATTCCTAGCTAATATCTTTAATACTTTCCTAACAAAATAATAATAATTTTTTTTATAGGAATAGGAGGTCTCATTAAAAACCTCCCTCATAGTTGCCTCTTAAGAAGAGGCAATTAGCGGAAGGAGGAAAAGAGTACCTCAATATATTTATAACCCAAAATTACATAAGACTTTAATTACAACATCACCCGAAATAAGAGACTAAACATAACCATAAAAACACTAAAAGAACGTTCAACCAATCCCCTCCTTAGCTAACTTATCAGCCTCCCAATTACAAGCCCTAGGGACCAGCCTAACCAAAATGTCCTTAGCCGAAATTAAATCCCCTATTTCCCCAACCAAACAACAAAACGATGGGGCATCAAAAGGCCTCAAAATCCAATCCACTACTGTTTTACAATCACTCTCTAGAATAAGTCTACCCTTCAACACCCAACCCGAATTAAGAAACAAATCCATGCCTTCCTTAATAGCTTTCAACTCAGCAAGCAAAGGAGGACCTGGTCCCACAACCTTAGAAAAAGAAATCAAGATAGAGCCATTCGAATCTTTCAGTACACCTTCAATACCACCCTGCAAGCCATCGCCTCTAACCGCCCCATCCACATTGAATTTATAAAAATCAGGTGGAGGTGGAAACCAACACTGATCGTTCTTCCTCTTGTGAGATATAACTACTAGTCTGTCTGCAAGCCGAGGATCCCCTACTAATAAATCAACCTGGATATTAGCCTTAGGAAATTTGGCTAAAAACCATTTTGCCAGCCTGAATCTGCATATGAAGAACAGTGTAGAGCTCTCAGAACTCCAGTTTTCGAAAACCACTAAATTCCTAGCCTTCCATAGTGACCACAAAACAACACCCGGAATAAATTTCCAAATAGAAGAAGAATCCTTTAAAACAGACCAGGAACAGAGTAAAAACATAGGATCTTTGGGCAGAACAGTAGACACATCCCATATCATGATGAACCTATTCCATAACTGCCAGGCAACAAGACATAGAATGAAAATATGTTGAATTGTTTCTTCCTCCTTTTTGCATAAAGGACATAATAAATCTTCCATGGTAACACCTCTTTTCTGCAACTCCACTCTAACAACTAATTTTTTATGAGATAATTGCCATAAAAATGTTTCAACTTTCGAAGGAGTCAATCCCGTCCAAACCCATTTGTTCCACTGAAAATTCCCACCAGAACTACATGTAAGTGCTGATCTGTAGGCCTTCACTGAGAACAAACCATCTCCAATCCCTGACCAAGATAGAAAATCATCAACTGAATCAATCAAAACAATATTATCAATCAAAGTCATTAGAGAAATCCATTGCTCCAATTCTCAATCGCATAAATTCCTCCTTAATCGTATATTCCAAACCCAACAATTGTTTTCATGACAGCCAAAGTCCGCAACTAATCCCCTTTTATTAATCGATAAGGCATAAATCCTAGGGAATTGTTCTTTTAAAGTAAAATTATTAACCCAAACATCATTCCAGAATTCAATTGATCTACCATTCCCCACTTGAATCTTTGAATTTGACCTCAAACAATTCTCGATATCATCCTTCTTCTCATAATTATTCCAAATTCCTCTCCATATCCATGAATCTTGAGGATTTGTAGCCTTATTAATTGATAGAGATAAGTTACTAATATTGTGCTTGCAACTAATCATCTTCTTCCACTGTGAATCTTTCTCATTCGCAAACATCCAAACCCGCTTCCCAAGTAGCACTCTATTGGTCAAAGACAAGTCCAGAACTCCCAAGCCACCCTCCTCGTACGATTGACACACCATTTTCCAATTTACCCTGATTAAGCAACCGTAACAAAATTCTTGTTATATATAATTTTTTATTTTATTTTATTTTTTTGATAAGAATTGGAGGTATCGTTAAAAAACCCCCTTCATACTTCACGGAACGCTGCGAGAGTATTCCGACAAGTAGCGGAAGTTAGGAAAAGAGTACCTCTAATTTTTTAAATTCATTACAACACTTTTTATATTAACCCTTCCTATGTTGCTTTGGCTCTGAATTTTTCTGAGTGTCCATTTACGACATATATTAAGACATGCATGTGGGTTATGACCCGCAAAGAATCAGAATAACATAGACCCCTTTTATGTAACTATGCATATGATCTCATGGTTCCACAAAATTGCTTCAACTTTAACTACCCAAGCTGTTTTACATGCCATTTAAACAAAGATACTATGAAGAAATACAGCACATAAGTCAAAAACAGAACAGCATATCCACATTCATGGTTCAATTAATAGGCATAATATAAACAGGTGCAATGGAATCCTTATATTTAAACCAAGAAAAAAATTAGTAAGTTAATCAATTAAACAAATCATGTCTACCTGATCGCCAAAATCAGACGCGAATTGATTGGCAGCAAAGGTGGGTATAGCACCTGAGTGTGAGCTGGCATCACCCTCATCAGAAGGCATTGTATGAGTCGTTGGTACAATAGCCAATGAACCGGATAGATCACCAAGTAAGTCTATTTCGGCATAGCTGGAAGCAATAGGAACAGCAGAAGCAGGGGCGGGTGTAGCACCAGGAATAGTAGTAGAGGCATGGCCAGCTGTAATAGATGATAAGCAAAGGATGGAAAATAAGTTCCAGTTGTAATGGATAAAAGCAAAAGCATCTACAATTATCCAATCAAAACTCCTCCAAAGTAGGAGAGTTATCCACAAAATCACATAAAACTCCAACCAGCAATTTCATTGAAATTAAGTAAATAAAAACAATTTTGTAAACATGAAGTCGCCGAGACAGCCCTTTTATGTTTTAAGGCTGCATGGCCAATAACATCATGTACATTAGTTCAAAATTCTAACTAGTATATCAACAACTTCACAAGTTTAGCACCTGGAAACTTGCGATGAATACATAAATGATGAAATCCAATCTGCAGTAAATAAGCATTTTATAGAGAGGGGGAAAAATCCTACCACATGAAATAAAAAAAATGGAACAGAAACGAAACAGAAGATTCTATCAAACTTAATGCTTGGACGACTTAGAAATTTACATTTTACAGTGAATGTTCAAGTCAATATTACTACATTGTCTAATGTTCGTATTGGATAAGCAGTAAGGGCACAAATTCCAAAAGAAAGACAACTATGATCATCCAAGTAATGCCATTGGAGCATCCAGACCACAGAATTTACACAGGAATTTGTACCTGAAACTGAACTGTGTGGATCAAATTCATCAAAAGCCTTCACTTTTTGATCTGGAGGAGATGCTGAATTACCAAAATCAAAGGCTATTTGGTTAGGGTTATTGCTAGCAGAAGAAGCCATGGAAACAGCTGCTGCTGAAGTTTCTCCATCCCTGTAATCAATCTTTGCAGTATGAACCATCAACTAGAAAGAAACAATTGAAAGCAACATGCCTATGAAAAATTAAGATAAAAGGCAATACCTTTCAGTATGGGAAGGACTCTGAGATTCACTTACAGCTTCTTCAAAACTAGGAGGAGCACCAATATTTTGTTCAGGAAATTTCTGTTCAAGCTGCCTGCACAAAAATGATTTCCAGAGAAATTTTAGAAACAAGAAACAATTGTTTTCTACAAAAAAAATCATCACCTAAGACAAATTGAGAATGCATCCAGTAACCATTACCTTCCATCCTGAGAATGATCATCAACTCTAGCACCGTTGCCCCTACAGAAAAGATAGCCATGCTAATTATATATTCTCCATGTTAAGCATCTAATGAAGGTATGAGAAAACCATAACTAAAGTTCAAATTGGAGGATCATTAAAACTACTAAATCAAGATATATCACTTAGTCAATTGGCACCCAAAATCTCACTGTGATACAAAAGATCCATGGAAAAATGTCAAGTAAATGCACCATTTAAGTATCTTAATCTAGGTGCAAAAGAAAATACTAATATTCACACCTTCCACTTTGTATCCAAAAATTAAAAAAAAAAATTGAGAAAATGGTAAAATATATGAATCAACAAATATTAACATGTTTTTTAAAGGAAACAAAAATAGTAATATAAAGGTCTCAAAAGTAAATAAAATCATACCAAGATGAAGAACCATCGTCGTCAAAAGCTCGGTCCCTATCAGAGACCCTACTTCTTGTTCCATATTGATCACCATCAACTCTTCTACCCCTGTAGTCATTGTCCTTGTAACCATCTCTTCTGTTGTGATCTTCATGATCTCTTCCATCGCGACCATTTGAATCCGCATATCTTCCGTACCGATCATCATCTCTAAAGCCATATTCTCCATCTCTTCCATAACCATTCTGACTCTCTTCCCTGCTTCCATGGTGATCATAATCATATCTGTTGCCATATCCCCCTGAACCCTGCCTACACATTCCACCTGCTGAATTATTTTGGAACCTGCAACCAGTTACGCATTATGGAAGAATTTTACATGTCCATTCATCTATGTATTCATATCCAAACTAATTTCTGTGGCAAAATTTTTATACAGATAACAATGATCATGAAAAAGAGAGGTCATCAGAACTTACAAAAATGGAACTCAAATTAGAGAAAGGCAGAATATTATTTATATAAGTTTATACCCTTTTTCAGCTATATTATGTATTAGGATAGTGATATTGAACCATGACTGAAGAAAATAGATTCAAAATTATTAGTAGACAGAGATAGACTACCATGCAATAGCTCAGAAAGATGCAAAAATAGGCATAAACCAAGAACGAATTGAAAGTCCAAGTACAGAGATAAAATACATTTTTATATGTGCATGCTCTTGATTGCGTGTAGTGACGTAACCAGGGTCAAATTTTGGGGTGGGGGGCAAGTATAAACAGTACAAGAATCAAACAAAATGAAATAACAAATAACAATCATTACTAAAACAATTTCAAAATACATAACCTATCAAAATAGAATGCACCGCTCTTTCAGGTCATGAAGATCATCTCTGAGTGAATTGTTATCAAGCTTTAATGAATTGGTATCAAAACATTAATTCACCTCAATTCTTCAAGATTTAGTAGGATTACTGTCAGCAATTAAAGGACTGAGATTCGTACATGTATTTGATTACTCGGTTAATGTTTAAACATTTTTTTCTTTTGAAAAAGGCATCAACTTTAGATGGTCTTTTTATCTATAGAAAAGTACATATATGTTTATATACTAATTATTAATAGTAGATGTAACCTATCAAATAAGCAGTAAGAATTGAAAAAATATTTAAATAAATATTTTTTTAAAAATATAAAAAGTATATAAATAAAAAGGAATTACAATTGAAAATTAAATATCAGTAAGAAATCATATAGCAAAGTAAACACACATGATCAAACTTAATAACTGAAAAAAAATTACAAAAGGAAAAGAAAAAAAAGAGATTGATAAAAAAGAGAATATTTTAAAATTTTGTATTTTAATACGAACCATCACTTGTCAGTTTATAAGAAAAAAGGGAAAACGAAAATCACAAGTGTATATTAACTTGGAAAGTGAAAACAGATAACAGAATTTTAGTGCAAAGTGAAAATGGAGAAGATAAGCAAAGATGCAGATAAACTGTGAAAAGTTTTTGAAATCTGTCAATTTAAAAATTAAAAATTGGAGGGAACAGCATCAATTTGTCTGATTCTGAAATTGACAGGGGCCTAAGAAGCATTTAAACAGAGAAATTTGGGGAGCAAGGCTCAATTTGCTTAATGTTTAAACTGGCAGGGACTAAGTCAAAATTAATCTGAAAAAGTTGGTGGGCCAGGGTCCCTCCCACCCTCTAAATGGTCCTATCACACATGTAATTATGAAGTTGAAAGTAAATATGCTCTTGCAGACATGTACTTCTTGCATTGAAACACATGTCAATGCCATGTTGTAAGTACACATGCTAATGTACATATGATATTGAAAACTGCACAAAATATCAAAACAATTACCAATTTCTCCGATGCTCAGTATAAGAAACACTTATTGGGAGGATGGTTCAACAGAGCAAAGAAGATTAAAATGTAAAGGCATTTTGCCAACTCACTTGTCCCTGTTAGCTGCAGCCTTTTGTCTTACTTCAGTTACTCTTTCGTTATCATTTATAAGGCCCAAAAGGCTTTGAGATCTTTTTCGGACATTGCTACCTTGGTCTCTTCCACTGGAATCAATATACTGAAAATCAGACAAAGTCTGCAACACAGGAAATACATAATTAGACAAAAATGTTTAAATACAGTGAGCTGCAGATTGTATCATCAATACTGAATGAAATTTGTTATATAGCATCAAGAAGCCACAAATACCGTTATTAGATACGTATGTCCTCTGATGTCATCTATGACACGCTCTGATCCATGAGCAACAAGGTAGTCCAAAACAGTCAAAGCCTGGAGCACACCAAAGCAAATAGCCTTTCAACGTTGGTAGAGTTTGGTATGGGGGGAGTGGAGGAAAAGTAAAATTCATAAAAAGAAAACACAAAGCAAAGTATAGTATAGTACAAAAAATGTGCAACTACTTTAACAGTTAATGAGTTTTTAGGCAACCACTTTCTAAGTTGCATAAACCAAATTGTAAATAAATGCAACATCGCAACTGACCCCTCAACACATTGCTGACCTTGTATACATGACGCCAATTCTTTCCAGTGTCATTCATACGTTTCCACAGTACTGCCATGATTATCTGGTATTCAGGACTGCATGAATATTAAAAAAAGGAAATGAATTTCCATGTAACAAATAATAATGAAACTCATATATATTTTTCAAAATCTTACGAGCTTCTTGTTGCCAATGCAATATCTGCCAGGAGTGATCCATGAGGACCCCAGGACTCATTGCTAGTAGCATCAAGAACCTGAAATTCGAAGGGAAATAATATACATTACTTAAAGAAGAGAAATAATACTTTTAACAGTATAACAAGAATAGTGTCACTTTGTTGTTTAGATCTGTTGATCAAGAACACTGTTTCTATAAGAACTTTCGAGGACAACATCCTCCCCTGAAAAACAAAATGTTTTGGAGCCATTGTATTCAATCAAGATTCGGCTCCATCGGCATCAAGGGCACTAAATCATAGTTTTGTTGAGCGTGCATATTGCAAAAAAATAGTGGTAGCCCAAGCAAAGTAAATCACAATATGTATATGTGAGTTTTTAGATGAGTTTCTACGTGCATATATATATATATATATATATATGAGAAAGGATCCACTTATGCACTTTGATAACTTTTTGAACGAGTAATATTTCAACGATCCAGCTGTTGAATTGATCAATCTAATGGTAATTGTTATGCATGAAAGGTTTCAAAGCGATATGATATCTCTATCATATTCATTGAGAATGCCAAGTTTATCAATATATATTTATCGACTGAAAGTTCTGTATATCAAATGCATAGTTAGACCTTTTCATTTCCAAAAAAATCTTGATGTGTATGATCTACATGAATAGAAAATGAAGTATGATGATCGGATTATAAAATATTTTTTGATAAAAATGGGAGGTCTCATTAAAAACTCCCTTCATAACCATCAAACATAAAACGAATAAACAGTTATAGAAATGTTTAAAACTATTTTAGTTTTACATTAGTATAAGCTTAAGAAATAGTATAATAAGCTCTCACGTGTGGTCTAGTTTATCAACAAAATGCACAATTTTTTAATGGTCAATATGCATGGTGAAAAGTAAAAGAAAATAAAGAAAACTTCAATCAGGCAGACTTATTTTTATGCCTATTGCTGCCCTGCAGAAAACTGTGCCTAATCAAATTGCCCTTGCTTGGAAGGGTCTGAGGTGCTTTGTTGTCTGGCAAGGCAGCACAAAGCAAGACACACCTAAGGACACACCTTGATGACACAGCTAGTTAATAGAACTTGAGAAGGATTTACATGGCAAAATGGATCCTTCAGAAAATGTAAGAATCAATCCTTTAGTACCCTTCCGTTAAGAACTCCCAACATTCAATCAATGGTTCAAAACTAGCTGCAATAGGCAACCACAAGATGCTTGATGGCTGATATTACTATGCTCTTCTAATCAAATTAGCCAACTGTCCAACCTCTCTCTACATAGTGTTTGGTTGAGAAGTGTCCATATGTATGCCTGTGACTAGTGAAGAACGCTCCTCATATAACATAGATAGCCATCAAGCTACTATTCCATATACTTCATTAACCTTGATTCTGTTCTTACACTTTTTATTTTATTTCCTGATAACAATATCAATTTGATCCCCTCACTGTCACCTCTCCATAACGCAAACAAATAACATTGAACCTTGCGACTGTCTGAATGAACTCCTTCACAAATGTGCACACACTGAATTCCTCTTATCACCCCCACTTCTTTCCCTTCCCAGAACTATGACTCCTTAAGTGTTGCTTGTTCTTCCTCTCTAAGCCTCTCTGTTTCCTTTCTATTACTAGGATATGCAGATTATAGAATCATCATTTTAATAACTAATATTGAAAGGAAATCAATTTTTGCAACTAAAATCCAGCTCAATGTCAGAAGCACATTCTTAGTCTAACATCTCACATAGCATGTCAACTAAAACAATATCTAGCTAATTTACTAAATCCCCCTGCCAAAGGAAAACGATATTCTGCTTCACACAACTGATCAATAGATACTTCAGTCATGCAAAAGTTGACTTTATCGTACTCAAATGGACAGTGAAATTGCTAAACAATAGTCTCACCGTCAACTAAAACAATATCTAGATAGTTTAGTAAATCCCCCAGACAAAGGAAAACTATGTTCTGCTTGACACTACTGATCAACAGATACTTCAATCAAGCAAAAATTGACTTTTAACACTCAAATGGACAATGAAATTGCTAAATAATATTCTTACCTTCTGCTCTATTCCAGGAACTTTAAGAACTTTCTTATTAACCCCTCTCTTACTGCAAAAAACAAATGGAAAAAAAGGATCATTTAGCCACCGTTTATTGCAAAAAAAATATCAAGGAGCAGGAATAGAACGAATTGATTTAAAAAACAAAAAAGATTGCAATCATCTTTCGTAGAAATTTTCTACCAAGGGATTGCTTTACATTTTTCAAAATTCAGAAGAAATTCGGCAATATTATCATGATATGAGAATTTGTATCTAATAATACACTTACAGGTCTCTAACAGTTTGACCAAAAACCTTCTTCATCGCCCCTGCTTTCAGAATGAGCCAGCTCTGTCACATAATAGAGAATAGGAGGGTCTTGAACAACTTTCGAGCACAACAATGGAATAAAATTATAGTCATCAAAACCCGTAAAGCTAGAAACATTGCAATTTTGCAAAGAAATAAAAGCCAAAGGATTCAAAAGAAAATTTCAAGATCATTTACAGGCAACATAATCAAATCAAACTTGCATAAAAAGCCAATCATACGACATTCCAATTAATATATAAATTAAAAAGGAGTTGATTTACTAAACTAAAGAAGCTAACCAGCTTGGATGAAAATCTATATAGCATAAATATTTTGACAGATCACTAGAGATTAAAGTCGTATCATTAAGAATCTTGGTAGTGGCAAACAATTGATAGAACAAATAATGTAAACCATCAGAATCAGGAAAAAATCCAATCATTAATCAGGAACGTTTTAGAACAATCATGGATTCAAGAAAAAACAGAAAAAAATAATTAAAATGAGCAGAAAGAAATTAAACTATATTTAGAGAAATGAAAATCAAATCAATAACATCAGAATTCAGAAATCCGAATCCAATAAAATGCAACGAATCAGATCTAAAAAAGAGCGGGGGAACAAGAATAAACAAAAAATCGAAACCTGAACCTTGGCCTGATTGAATCTAAAACTGAAACCGCAGATCTGAAAGAAAAGAAGGAATTTTCTATTTTTTATGTATTAAATGGATCGTCTCCGTGAGAGAGAAAAATGAAGAGGAAATCACCAAGAGTTCTAAAATTTTGTGAATATTTTACGCTAAACAAATGAGAAGAAGTGAGAGAGAAATACGTGCGTTAGTGTTTGGCAGAGTGATCACTTCAAAAGTTGGTGAACTGATGAGAGATGCTTTGTGATTTTTACGTGCATTAAATTAGCTTGTAGGTTCCTGTATTATCGGATCAGTTCAAATTAGTCCTTGTAATTTAAAGTGATCCAGTTACAAGAATCTCAAAATAACACATGTAGTTAGTGAATTTTAATTTTGTGTAATTATATTTTATTTTTTTAATAGTATACGTGAAATTTTAATTCTGATTATACATTTCTAAAGATGAGAAGAAAACTAATTCTTAGTGTAAAGTCAACAAAGGTGGGAGAGGGGCACTGTCTATGCACGTTTTCAACAATTCAATGTCCTAATTTTTTAATTATAATTGAAATAGGGTTAATTATAAGAATAGTCCCTAAGCTTCAACTATAAATACGCTGACCCATTTAGCTTCAAAATCATCCAAATCATTTCTTTCTCCCAATTAAGAGAGCTTTCTTGTGAGTAGTGAGTATTTTGTAAACACCTGTAAATTTTCTCTTTTAGTAAAAGATCTGCAGCAGTCCGGAGACGTAGGCATAATTGACTGAACTCCGTTATCAATTTTGAATATTATTTTTCCGCTTTTATTTCACATTCCCACTAATTTGGTTATAGGAAAATTACTCGTTACTCGGTTTATTTCCCAACAACTGGTAATCAGAGCTTTTGGTTGTGAATTTTGTCATTTTTTTTGCAAAGTTACTATTCACATGAATAATAAATTTCGTGAATAGTAAAAAAAATCGGCGATACGAATTTGTCGACGGAGGTATTCTAATACACAGTGATTCGCAAAAATTATCGGAAACGATCCAAAAGAAGCCATATTCAAGTGGGAGCGATGGCTGTAGACGAAGGGAATGTGAAAATTAAAAAGTTCGATGGTGCGGACTTTGGTTTTTGGAATATGCAGATTGAAGATTTTTTGTACAAGAAAAATCTATATTAACCTCTCTCAGGAAAGCAACCAGAGGGCATGAAGAATGAAGACTGAGCTCTTCTCGATAGACAAGCCCTCGGAGTTATTCGACTGACGTTATCCCGCAATGTTGCTTTCAACATAGCAAAGGAAAAGACCACGGCGGGTCTTATGGCGGCTCTCTCCAGTATGTATGAGAAGCCATCAGCCTCAAACAAAGTTCATTTGATGAGGCGATTATTCAATTTGCGGATGGCGGAATGGGCATCAATGGTTCAACACCTAAATGAACTCAACACAATCACAACCCAGTTGAGTTCCATGGAAATTGAATTCGATGATGAAGTTTGAGCTTTAATTCTATTATCATCTCTACCAGACAGTTGGAATGCTATTGTTACAGCAGTCAACATCTCGTCGGGAAACAACAAATTAAAATTCGACGATGTTCGGGATCTGATATTAAGTGAAGAAATTCGACGGAGAGAATCGGGTGAAACATCAACCTCCTCAGCCTTGCACACGGAGTCTAGAGGGAAAACTTCATAAAGAAATTCAAATCGTGGAAGATCGAAATCCAGAACGGGAAAATCAAGAACGGGAAAGAAAGATTTTACCTGTTATAATTGTGGCAAGAATGGTCACTTTAAAAGAGATTGTCGAGCACTGAAGAAAGATACCGGGGTACAGGAATCTGCCAATATGACAGAGGAGATAGGTGATGCCATGATTCTAAGCATCAACAGTCCGATTGAATCATGGATCTTGGATTCAGGGGCATCTTTCCACTCCACCACATGCCAAGAAATCATGGAGAACTATGTCAGTGGTGATTTTGGGAAGATTCATCTAGTTGATGATGAAATCTTGAAGATAGTCAGAAAAGGAGACATATGATTAAAGCTGCCAAACCAGACCACCTGAACACTGAAAGGAGTGAGACATATTTATGGCCTCAAAAGAAATTTGATTTCTGTATGACAACTTGATGAAGAAGGTTATAGTACAACCTTTTCAGGCTGTGAATGGAAGATTACCAAAGGAGCACTCGTCATTGCTCGTGGTAAGAAGACTGGTACTCTCTATGTAACCTTAAATTTAGAAAATATCATTGCAGTAGCAGATGCTGATGGAAAATCAAACATATGGCACCAAAGGCTTGGCCATATGAGCAAGAAAGGGATGAATACACTTTTGTCAAAAGGGAAGCTGTCGGATCTAAAGAATGTAGATGTCGGACTATGTGAAGATTGCATATTTGGCAAACAAAAGAAAGCCAGTTTTGCAAATATTGGCAAGAAACCCAAGGCAGAAAAGTTAGAGTTAGTTCATACTGATGTATGGGGACCATCTACAGTTCCATCTCTTGCGGGCTCACTATATTATGTCACCTTCATCGATGATTCTACAAGGAAGGTGTGGGTTTATTTTCTGAAGAAGAAATCAAATGTCTTTGATACCTTCAGAAAATGGAAAGTCATGGTGGAAAATGAGACTGGTTTGAAAGTCAAGCGGTTGAGGTCTGACAATGGAGGAGAGTACAGAAACAGTAGATTCAGAGATTTCTGCGCAAACAATGGGATCAAGATGGAGACAACAGTTCCCATGACACACAACAGAATGGCGTAGCAGAGCGCATGAACAGAACTCTGAATGAACGTGCCAGAAGCATGAGGATACATGCTGGATTGCCCAAATCGCTATGGGCTGAAGCTATCAACACTGCAGCTTACCTAATCAACCGTGGGCCCTCAGTTCCTTTGGATGATGGAATACCATAGGAAGTTTGGAGCAGAAAAGAAATAAACCTTTCACACTTAAGAGTGTTTGGTTGTATTTCTTATGTACACATAAATTTTGCTGAAAGAAGTAAACTTGACGCCAAGTCCAACAAATGTGTATTTGTTGGTTATGGTGGTGATGAGTTCGGTTACCGGTTTTGGGACTATGAAAATTGGAAGATCATCAGAAGAAGAGATGTCATTTTCAATGAGACTGTGATGTACAAAGAAATGTCAACCATATAATCAAGTAGCTCCAATACCGAAGCTGAAGCAAAGGAATTAGCTGAGTTCGAGGAGATTTCTGGAAATGATGTTCAAATCAGTCCTGAAGCAGTTCAAGAAGAACCAGGAACACTGAAACTAAGATGCTCCTCCAGAATTCCTAAACCAACCCAGCGTTATTCGTCTTCTTTGCACTACTTATTGCTGACTGACAATGGTGAACCAAAGTGCTATGATGAAGCAATGCAGGTGGAGGATTCAGTCAAGTGGGAGTCTTCCATGAAAGTGGAGATGGACTCGCTTATGTCAAATCAGACGTGGGAATTAGTTGAATTACCACCATGCAAGAAAGCGCTCCATAACAAGTGGATTTACAGGATCAAAGAAGAGCACGATGGAAGCAAACGCTACAAAGCAAGATTGGTTATCAAAGGTTTCCAGCAAAAAGAAGGTATTGACTACAATGAAATTTTCTCTCCAGTCGTAAAACTGTCTACAATCAGACTAGTGTTGAAAATTGTAACTGCAGAGAATTTACATCTTGAGCAGTTAGATGTGAAGACAGCTTTCCTACATGGTGATTTGAAGGACGAAATCTATATGAGGCAGCCAAAAGGCTTCATAGAGGCAGACAAGAAAAACATGGTATACAAGTTGAAGAAAAGGTTGTATGGTTTAAAACAAGCTCCTATACATTGGTACAAGAAATTCGATAGCTTCATGAGTAGTAGTGGTTTTATCAAATGCCAAGCAGATCATTGTTGCTACATCAAGAGGTTCGACAACAACTTCATTATTTTATTATTGTACGTTGATGACATGCTCGTTGCAGGCTCATACAGGCAAGAGATTATAAACTTGAAGCAAAAATTGTCGAAGCAGTTTGCAATGAAAGATCTGGGCGCTGCAAAGCAGATTCTTGGGATGAGGATCAAGAGAGACACAAAGTCAGGGACTTTGATGTTATCACAGGTTGAGTACATCAACAAAGTACTCTCCAGGTTCAATATGCAAGATGTTAAACCAGTAGGTACACCTTTAGGTGTTCATTTTAGACTCTCCAAAGAACAATCACCAAAGACAGAGGAAGAACGTGCACACATGATGAAGCTGCCGTATGCCTCAGCAATTGGAAGTCTGATGTAGGCCATGGTTTGTACTAGACCAGATATTGCTCATGCAGTGGGAGCTGTTAGCAGGTACATGAATAATCCGGGCAAGGTACATTGGGAAGCAGTCAAATGGATCCTCAGATATCTGCCGGGTACTACAAACAAAGCACTTTGTTTCAAAGATGGAGATACGATACTGACAAGCTATATAGATGCTGGCTTAGCCGGAAATGTCAACATCAGAAGAAGCACTACAAGGTATGTCTATACTCTAGGAGGAACTGTAGTGAGTTGGGTTTCTCAACTACAGAAGATAGTTGCTCTCTTCACAACTGAAGCAGAATATGTCGCTGTTACGGAAGCCAGCAAGGAGATGGTTTGGCTTCAAAGTTTCTTGGAAGAGTTAGGCAAGAAACAAGAAAACAATGTCTTATATTGCGACAGTCAAACTTCTATCCATCTAGCAAAGAATCCATCTTTTCATTCCAGGACGAAGCACATACAATTGCGATATCATTTTATCCGGTCTCTTCTGGAAGATGGGATTTTGAAACTTGAAAAGATTAGTGGAGCTCAAAATCCGGCAGACATGTTAACAAATACGGTGACTACGGAAAAACTGAAGTTGTGTTCAGCTTCAGTTGGCATGCTAGAGTAACAAGTCTAAGAATGCTGCTGCATCGATCGAGGTGTGAAGACAGAATAAAATCAGTCTTCAAATGGGAGATTGTAAAGTCAATAATGGTGGGAGAAGGGGGCATTGCCTATGCACGTTTTCAACAATGGGGGCACCTTGGTGCTCCAATTTTTTTAATTATAATTGAAATAGGGTTAATTACGAGATTAATCCCTAAGCTTCAACTATAAATATCCTAACCCATTTAGCTTCAAAATCATTCAAATCATTTCTTTCTCCCAATACTAGAGAGCTTTCTTATGAGTAATGAGTG